ATTGGCTGGTGTCCGTCATAAATACCGACGGACATGTAGGTACGACAGAGTCAAAGAGCCTTAGTCTGAGAGCTAAGTCTATAACGACGTCCATTGGACTACGCCATTGATCTACACGTGTTACCTACGATTACGACGCGTACCAGTCGATAACTGTTACGTATTCTACTTGGTTATAGTAGCCAAAACCACTTAGCTACTTCGTTCAAGTATATCCCTTTTCCGGGACATATCAACAACATATATTTTATACTGACATAAATTGGGACGATTATATTGAATCACTTGCTAGGTCTGTCGCTAGGGGAGTTGGTTCACTGTGTCGTACAAGACAACGTTTCTCGCCAGAATCTATCTTTGCACCTTTACAAGTCTAGCATTCGCCCGTGAATTGAATATCGCTGCTACATCTGGTCTGGTGCTTCTGCTGTATATCTATAGATTTTTGACAGAATCCAAAGAAGAATATGAAATGTTATCCGTCCTGACCTGGCATCTCGGCTTCAGTCACTTTCCCACCGCCGTAACGTCGTTTCCTTTTCTGTTTCCTTGGGAATTGTTCTGATGAGTTTTTTCTCTTTGGTACCTCGACCTCAAGAATTTAAGCGCAGTAATAGATTGTCAGCATTTTAATCGTTTCTTTTCTCGCACTTCTCGTTTGTGGGACTCTCTTTCAGCTTCTTCAATCTTCAAAAATTTAAATGCAACGTTGTCATCTTTTAACTCCGTGAATCCTGTTCGTTTATTGTCCTTTCTCTCCTCAGCAACGTTTTCTGAATTTCTTACCCTCTCAGTAATCTCTTGCGTCTTAGTAGCTTTATGACCTTGCCGGGAGTGAAATGATTAAAAAATACAATGAAGCATTTTTATTTGACTATTATTTTCATTCTGCTTATTTATGATGCTTATTTAATTAATAATTAATTAGAGGAAAAAAAGTTAATAATTAATTAGAGGAAAAAAATTCACAAAAACAGAACAACCTCAATGTTGGAAGAAAGCTTCAGAACGTATAATATTTCACGCCTTGGCTTTTAATCTGCGATCACGTACAAACGCAACTGAATGACAGTGGACTGGGGAAACGAAGAATGAAATTGGTCGGCTTAACACGCAATTCCCCTGATTCCCTATTGATAGATACGCAATGGTTCGGTGCTTAACTTGACTGAAAACAAAATTTCTATGAGGGCATAATGAAGCTTAACCTACCAGATCAAAAGTGCAGAAAGTGGCCAACCACGCAATGCAACCAGTTCTGCTGTCCCTGGATTTATCAGATGTCAAGTTAGCAATTTCATATGAGTGAGAAATTATTTTTTCTTGTATTATCGTGTCTGTATATAAAAGTAAATATATTTATATAGGTGGTTGAAGAACAAGAAAAAGAAATGAGTCGAAATAGCGTGACAAGAACAAGAATATGACGAATGAAAATGTACGAAATATGCTATAGCTAAAAAGTTGTCATTTGTAGCCAAGCCTAATCTTATATTTATTAGCCGAGGCCTTCTTTCTTTCTGTGTGCCGTGTCCTTTCAGGACGTAAGCGATCATGGTTCTCCACCTCTCTCTATTCCTTGCAGCTCTTAACAAAAAGAAACCTCCAGCTTTCTTCCCCCTGACTACGTTCTGTCATCCAATTGCTTAAGACCGCTAGGTATGTCACGTGTTGTTTTCCCTTGTCTCTCTTTCCCTTTATTTGACTTATGAGTATCAGATTATCTAGGCCCCGTTTCCTCATTATGTGTCCCAGAAACCTCAGCTACCATTTCCTGATGTTAAGTATAAGCCTCCTCCTTGTTTGCATTCTCTTAAGACCTCATCGTTGCTCACACGCTTTAACCATGATATCCTTAACATCCTTCTGTAGAACCACATCTCCGTCGCCTCAAGTCTCTTTTTCATTAACTTTGAGGAAATCGTCCATCTGTCGCTGCCGTAAAGAAGGACAGATGTCACGTTTTTCAATATTCTTTTCTTTGTTACCAAAAAATCCTTCTGTCTCGCAATACTCTGCCCAGCTTTTGGAATGTGTCCTTGGCCATCCCAATACGTCTACGGATCTCAGTGTCGCATTTAGCGTCCTCTGTCAGGACGCTTCCCAGATATTTAACCTTCCTTATGGGGATTTAATGCCTTATACCAACACCGAAGTTAGTTCACTTGAACTGGGTGTTAGTGAAAACACAAACTTATTTTCCATAAGCATTTAATAAAATAAGGGAATAAAAACAAGAAGCTTTGAGAGACATATCTAATATAGAAATAGTAGTAATAATAGTAGTACTTTAGTAGTCGTCCATTTATCTCGCAATATGATGGTAGCGCCCTCTTTGGCCAAACATTGTCATTTTGCGAGCAGCGTTTGGAGTGGCGTAGCAGACCAATCTTTGCATGACACGCTCTTCCACAGGTGTGACAAATGAAGCTGGAATATGGAATGGAGGTCTGACATTGTTCTCTACTTCCTTCGTTCTCTTCTTATTTTTACCTGACAGTTGGCTTCGCCTTTTCCCGGTCTTCGTGTCTCCTCCAAGAACAGGATTAGTGTTTTGTGTGCGTGGTCACGGTTACGTCATCAACAGACAGCATTTCTCTGATGCATACTGTACGTACCTTGGTCTTTGTTCTTCTTATTGTAGTTGTCATTGTTGTTGTGTAACCACATGATCAAATCACAACTCGAACCATTTTATACATATAAATTTGTAATTCTCACGTAAGATATGAAGCTGAAGTGACGAAGACACGAACAGTTAAAAGAACCTGTCTGTTTTCTCCAAAGTTAAAAAAATTAGTATTAAATAAATCAACGGATAAACTATAATCCGTTGTAGGAAGAAGGCTTTAATTCACCCAGTTCAATTCTTCATGGCGGAATACTCCTTTAAAGAATCAGCACACCTTTATATCCACTTCGGATATCTAGAAAGAAGAAAAATCCAAAAGAAAACCTCCGACCATAGGATATTATTACTGACGTCCCATCGCAGGTTATGTGCTGTGTTACAATGCTGAACATAATACTCAGGCATAAGCATTACTTAAAAACGAAAAAACTGATAGTATTTTAATTTTTTTAAAATCATTTTACCGCAGGCAAGGAGATAAAGCCACTAAGACGCAAGAGGTTACTAAGTGTTGTAACTTAGGGAAGGTTACTGAATAGAATAATCACACGAAGGTTGGTAATGAACGATAATACTTCGGACACGAAAAAACACATATATGATTCGCCAGCGGCTCGTAGAAGTAGTAGCCATCTGCTAGAAGTGAATTCCACAATGAATAGCAAACTATTGACCAACATACAGTATTTACGACTGTATTTATGTGAATAGGGACATAACCATTATCGTTCGTAGGTATGCTACAACACTAAGTATGAAAGAATATAAGAAAAAGAAAACATTATTAATTTGAGAGAACAAGAAAGAAAACAGGAAGAAGACAGACGATAACGGTTGGCATTGCATTCAAATTTTTGAACATCAAAATTTACCAAGCAAGAAGCCAGAAGAGTATTCCACAAGCGAGAAGTGCGAGAGAAGAAACTGTTAGTATAGAACTTACGGTTACAAGTGTTTTAGCCTCGGAAATTCATTTGGAGTATCTACATTAAAAGTGATTTTTTTTTAAAGAAGACATCAGAATACTTTGTATCTTAGCCTTCCATAGCATTTTGTGTATATCCTTTAAAGAAAGTGGCATTTCCGAAATTAATAAGAAACTACGCTTTGTCTTATTCTCTAAAATGTATTTTAACTATATGCGTTAAAAATGTTAATGGCGGTGTTAGAAAAGAGATAATGTTTCCAGTCGTTATTTTTTTTTATTTTTTAAGCATTACGCCCCGAGCAAGTGAAGCCACTAGGATGCAGGGGTTGCAGAAGATTTGGAGCAAGAGCAGATAGGAGTGATAGAAGAAAGGATGCGGAGAAGGATAGTGGGTAGATCAAGGTAACTGGAGGTGTCGATTGGCATTACATTTGAATAGTTGGAGATTATAGCTCTCAGGGAAACTGGAATAAGGAAGGGAGTTCCACAGGCGAGAGGGGCGAGGTATTAAGCTATTGGAGTAGAAAAGACGGCTACATTTAAAAGTTTCTACAGTGTAAGGGTGAGAGCGGGATGCCAGCCTCGTAGGGCGCTTGAATTCATGGAGTCTGGGAACCAGTAAAAGCAGCTCATCGGAAAAATTACCATGAAAGTATTTGTAGAAAAGACAGAGAGAGGCAACGGCGCGTCTGTGAGAGAGTGACTGTAGACGAGACGCCAGATCAGGGCCAATTACATTACATATCCGTCTCTGGATCTTGTCAAGAACTCCGAGGTAAACAGAAGGTGCCCCAGACCATATATGGCAGCAATACTCCATGCAAGGGCGAATGGTTGATTTATATATTTGAAGTATCGATTCCGGGGAGAAAACTTTCCTGGCGCGACACAGAGAGCCAACTTTCCTCCCGGTGGAAGAAGCAATTGACTCAATGTATTTGTTATGATATACTAACAGCTTAACACCGTGGTTCCCCAAGTTTTTTTTCTCAAGGGTAGTATTTTCGGAATGAAAATTTGCTCTTGCCTCACCAAATTTTATGTGATAAAAAGTATATTTAAAAATAAAAAAGAAGAGCGAGAGTTAAAAGGGAGATAACCGCGGATTCGAAGTCAGAACATTATCATTGATAACACTCTCCTCCAATTTGCTGACCCTAGTTACTATATTCTTAATACTTGGTATCATGCAAAAATATCATAATGGTAAAATTGCTCAATAATTTTTTTTAACTATTTATACTAGGACCCGTGCATGCAATTACAAGTAATCCATAATAATATTTTAAATTCTGAAATCATATTTATTTTTGGCATCATTGAAATCATATTTATTTTCCCAAGGGTATATGCTCGTAAGTGAATATAACTAACCCAACTGGAATTGGAAATCGACTCTTCGATTACACTATTATCCGTTACACCAGCCGCACATCCAAGCTTACAGCACTTAGTATTCCCAAGCGGTCACCCATCCACGTACTGATCAGGATCGACGTTGCTTAACTTCAGTGATCGTATGGGAACCGGAAGTCAGCTGAAAGAAAGGAATGACAAACATGCATTCTTCGCAAAAAGATTATTTTTTTATACTGTAGTATAAATACAAGAAAAAAAAAACTGCTAGGCCTTTAGTGTCCTTTATGTTCTTGCTGCGACCATGTGGGTTCCTCTGCTCAATCTACCGCCGGTGGGATTGTGATAATGCCTATTGCCCTAGTCGTCTACATCGCAACTGAGACTCGTCACCCCATTCACCGGCAGTCACGTGATCCTCGGGAAATTATCTTACCCGAAGGAAGATAACCACTGTTTCTTTATTGTTTTAACATAAAATGTCCGAGGTGCTACCCAAGTTCTGAAAATTTGACCTCAAAAAAAAAAAAAAAAAAAAAAAGAAAAAGAAAAAAAGACTTACCCTAATACCGAGTATCCACCGTTTCCTTTGATGTAGGATGTAGTCTTTTGTGTGTGTGCGTGCATGTGTGAGTTTGTGTCCACGCTACGCTCTCTGATAACGACATCCAGCTATGTAATGGTCATTTTTTCACATTGTGTCATCATGTGAAGAGGAGCAGTCGATGTTGCTGGCTAAGAGAAGAGCCTCTGAATAAAGTTCCAAGAAAGATTCTTTAGAAGATCAACCACGCCCAACAAACAATACAAACTTTCCCAGACAGATAGCCATTGATCGATTACCTGATTTATCGAAAATCGATCGCCTATTCACATTTAGTTCGTAGCTGGTGAAGTACTTTATTGAAAGAGTTAGTTCCTAACAGTCAAACGATCGTGCTAGCGTTGGAAATTCTACTCAGTAATAATAATAATGACAACAATATAATAACTAGTTTTAACCCACGAAATCTCACGACTTTCCCAATAGAATTTTTTGATGAATTCTTCACTTAATAATTGAATAATCTCATGGAGAGGTCTACGACAATAAAATATCCGTAGAAATTTCCCTATCGATAGTTTAATATTTGATCTTAACAACTTTAACAAAATATTGCAATAACAATAATAAATGTGAATGCTGTTTGTTATTTTAAGAAGTAAGGAGGTACAAATGAAAAGATTTGAAATTGGCAACTTTTTCCATTTCACTAAAACAGACGTTAAACACTTCTATCTGCCCTTCTTTCTTTTTTCTTTCTTTTTCTCATGCGATCAAAACAGAATAATCCATTATTTATGAGGGTTTAGCAACAGACGTTAAACACTTCTATCTTTTTCCACTGAAATCAAGTAGCGGCTTTGATTTCTTTTGTCTTCACGCGCCATAAAAAACATAATAGTCCATTATTTATGAGGTGTTAGCAGGAAACGTTAAGCACATCTATCTATCTATCTATCTATCTATCTATCTATCTATCTATCTATCTATCTATCTATCTATCTATCTATCTATCTTTTTCTTTATTTTCTTTCTTTCTTTCACTGAAACCGACAAGCGTCTCTGATAAGTCTTTTGTCTTTCCACGGAATAGTCTATTATTTATGAGGTGTTAGCAATAGACACTTCTTTCTTTCTTTCTTTCTTTCTTTCTTTCTTTCTTTCTTTCTTTCTTTCTTTCTTTCTTTCTTTCACTTAAACCAAGTACGTCTTTGATTTCTTTTGTCTACTCACACGATCAAAACAGAATAGTCCATTATTTATGAGGTGTCAGTAGGAGACTTTAAGCGCTTCTATCTATCTATCTATCTATCTATCTATCTATCTATCTATCTATCTATCTATCTATCCTTTTTTCACTGAAACCGTGTAGCGTCTCTTTTTTCACAACTGGAATTATTGATGCCCTCATACGCCATATTGTTGAGATTTTCACTTCATGACCCGTGTATTTTGAGAGTTTACAGCCTGCAGGAACTGCCATGTCAATAAGAAAACACATTCTGTTCTTGTGGTCTTTGATTGTGATTCGTTTTGATTGTTCTGTCTGTGTGTATAGGAAAGTCTCGTAAAATTATTATAGGTCCTATGTCGGTAATCGGATCTGGGTGCTTTTTTTTTATATTAATTCCATGCAGTTTTCCCCGCGTCAAATTTTCTAGTGCAGATATTGACACACCCTGTCTTACTGAGATTTATATTCAATGGATGCTAATACCGCGCAACCCGATTCGAGAGGATCAATTGTTTCCGGATATTCACCACAGGATCTGCATTTCGGGTTAACACAATATTTTAGTTATTATTATTATTATTATTATTTTCAAACCCATATCCACTGTTATTCATTTTTATCTTATTTTGTCATATTAGTAGATATAAGTCTAAAGTTATCTAAATGTTAAAAAAGTATATACTTTTAATACCTAAACAAATTTTCTTAATAGTAAAACTGATAGGTCCTCTAAAATCAAATTGGCAGCTGATCGCGAAAATGACCTACAATTTGTTGTTAACTGAGGCAAGACATGGCGTGTTAATTTTAGCGTATCTAAAACCACACTATCCTTTTTTAATTATCTTAAAGAACCTTATTTGCATTCCATCAGAATGGCTGATGCTAACTACCAGGAGGACAAATTCCTACGTCTTCTTGCTCCCACTTTTTTTTTCCGGGCATAAAGTGGAATGGTTATATTGTATCCATCTTAGGTCTACAGCTAGAAAAATCGGTTCACTATGCTAGGCCATTTCTCTCACTTGAATATATCTTGCATATCTATAACTCTGCCTTTCATCCATGCATCGAATATTGTTGCCACATCTGGTCTGGCGCTTCTGTTATCCGTCTAGAGATTCTTGAGAATATCCAAAGAAGAATTTACAATGTTATTTCAGACCTGGCTTTTTAGCCTCAGTCACATTCCCACTGGCGTAACGTAGCTTCATTCTGCCTTTTTTTGTCATATAGCAAGAAAATGTGTAACTACCGACACCGAGGTTCGAGCGTGACACTCTGGACTTATGAATATATGTTTTCCGCCGGGTGTATAAATAGCGGTGTCAGGCTACTGACTGTAGTGATTACTGAGTGATTATTGAGTGGAACTATCCAGTCGAATTAGTGTGAATTATTTATGCCCCTTTGTTATATATTGTCATATAAGAAGAAAATGAGCAACTGCCGACACCGAGGTTCGACATATTAATATATTTTTCGAAATACAATAGTGGACATATTGAATATATGTTTTCCGCCGAATTGAATATAAATAGTTGTCATATAAGAAGTCAATGAGCAACTGCTACTGACTTCGAGCAGAAACACTCTGGACATATTCAATATATTTTTCCGCCAGATATAAATAGCGGTGTCAGGCTACTGACTTGTGATTACAGTGACTATTGAGTGGAACTATCCAGTCGAATTAGTGTGAATTATTGTGCGTCAATGATTTGAGTTTTGATTTAGAATTTACCAGACGTTAAGTCGAGCCGCGCTACTAACAAGGTATTCACTGAAATGGTTAATTATCTTTGGTTGACTTTTACTTCTTTGTTTTTGTTAAGTATTTATTTGCGTTTTTAGTTAAATACTGTTTCATTTAACATTGAAGTCTTGAGTTATTATTAACGGCCACCGTATGTCATAAAATTTTTCTATAAATATTTTTCCTCTTTCGTGCCACGACACCACGAATTTAAGCGCAGTGCAAGATTGTCAGTTAGGTCTCAATATTTCACTGTTGAAGTTGATAGATGCAACCGCAAGTCCTATGCTAATAGGTTGTTCTTTCGCAATTGTCACTTGTGGAACTTTCACCTGGTTCTTGCTTTCCGGTCAACTACGATCTTCAAAATTCTAACTGCAATGCCAATCGTTATCTTCTGGCGCTTTGATTCTTCCCTGTTTCTTTCAGTCTCAGTAACCTCTTACGTCTTAGTGGCTTTTATTGGATTTCGTGGATCGAAAATATTTTTTTTTAATTTGAGATTTTTCTGTGGAGTCGACGGGTGTCTCTGTCGTTCAGGGTCGAAAATCTCTAAAACCAAAATCTGACGCCTTTCCTGTTGACAGTTTTATGAAAGATTTTTCTGAAACATTCATACATTCACCTTAATCGTGTGTCCATCTTCCTATCCAGGGATCTATCTTTGTCAATCACTGTTTTTATTTATTCGTTTATTTTTAGATCTAATCATATACTATAATCTCTAGGAGTTTGATGATAATCCTTGTCAATCGTAACCTGTTTGTATTTTGCGTCATCAGTTTTTTTACCTGAACCTCAAAACTTTTCAAGTTTCCTTATACTACAAAATTTATGGGTACTACACCCACTGTTCCGTTCCATATTTTGTGTTTCTCTCCGAAAAAGCTATGAACTTTGTATTCTTCTTGTGTTTCAGTTTGTGAACTTATAGTACAACTCATTTTCTTGATATACAAAAATGAAATCGTGAGCTGAGCTAGAACGGTAATCTGTCCCTGTGTCATAAATGAAACATAAGTGTCATAAATAAAACATAAGTGTCACAAATGAAACATAAGTATCATAAATGAAACATAAGTATCATAAATGAAACATAAGTGTCACAAATTAAACATAAGTGTTGTAAATGAAACATAAGTGTCGTAAATGAAACATAAGTGTCATAAATGAAATATTAGTATCATAAATGAAACATAAGTGTCACAAATTAAACATAAGTGTTGTAAATGAAACACAAGTGTCGTAAATGAAACATAAGTTTTATATATGAAATATTAGTATCATAAATGAAACATGTGTCACAAATTAAACATAAGTGTCGTAAATGAAACATAAGCACCATAAATGAAACATAATTGTCATAAATGAAACATAAGTATCGTAAATGAAACATAAGTGTCACAAATTAAACACAAGTGTCGTAAATTAAGCATAAGTATCATAAATGAAACATAAGTGTCATAAATGAAACATAAGTATCGTAAATGAAACAGAAGTGCCGTAAATGAAACATAAGTATCATAAATGAAACATAAGTGTCGTAAATTAATCATAAGTATCATAAATGAAATATAAGTGTCACGAATTAAACATAAGTGTCGTAAATAAAACATAAGTGTCACGAATTAAACATAAGTGT